ATCGGTATATCCGACGGGAATAGTGTCCGAAAATTACGGAACATTTCACAAAAATCACTATTTGTGACGAGATTAAGCTCCGTTTCATCGCCATTATTAGCCAGCTGGTTATTTCTAATAAGTTGCATGAACAAGGTTACAATTGCACAATGGATATTGATTGGAGTGCCGCACGCGCTTCTATGGGGTCTATTTTCTCACTACTTGGTCAACATTATTATCTATCAATCAGTTTACTATTTTATAATCACTTATTATTTAAAGCTAAAACTAATTGACATTAACGAGTCTATCAAACAAGCTCTTAGTACAGACAAATCCCGTTATACTTGCGCTAAGTTATGGAGTTTAGTACTTGCCTTAAACAATCTATACGCCGAGATCAGTAACTATAATGCTATTTATTGGTCAAAATATTTGGCAGTTTTATGGTTTACCATCGGCTCAATGATCTCCATGATAGGTTACATAGTGTTTTTAGGCAACGTGGCCAATTTAATCATTAGGACCATGCTCGCTTTGTATCTAATAATGTATACACTAACATTGTTATTTGTTATACGCATATCTAATTATGTTTACCAAGAGCCGTTTGTAACTTACAAACTATTAAACAATTATTTATGTTTACCTGGTCGTAATTCGTTTCAACTAGAACTTAAGGTGATTTCACATATTTTAGTTATATTTATTTTGTTTATTTAATTTATGTTTAATTTTATTGTGTGCCTAGATCAAAAATTTAATTGAACAAATATGCGCTAAAAAGATTGGATTTCACTGTTGGAAATTATTTATCATCAACAATTTTAGGGGATATGAAGTAAAGTATATTATTAATAATGAATCATCATTATTAATGATTGACATAATGTATTTTATTAACGAGTAATTTTGTTTTCAGATAATTGCGATGATTGTGATATTATTTTTGAAAATACACGAGATTACAACCAAGGTACACTAAACATGTTATAAATATTATTAATTAAATTTTTTTTATTAATTGTAAATTAATACTGTATTGTTGATTCATACAATAAAATTACTGTATTTTGTTGATATATCAATGTTTGTACTTAAAATATTTTATATTGAATTAATGTATATTATACTTTATTTCATTTATTAATTTTTTTAATTTTTACCTATTTGAAAAAATAGACATGTTAAATTGTTTTATTATTTAATTCATTATTTGTCCAGTGGTGGAAAATTGCATATCAAATAGTAAAATCAGATTACACAATATGCCCATATTAGAGATAATGGAATATATTATTTTCGTGTTAACTTATTTATTTAGACTAAATATGTCCTTAAAATAAATTAAATTTTTTGTTAGTTATAATTAATAATACCTTTTATTTGGTATTATTTGTACTTAACTGTAATTACACTAAACAGTAATATCTATTTAAAATTATTAATACTATAATATTACAATCATGTCTAAGTGTTCAGCAATTATGACCATGATAATTACTTCAATGATTATTAACTATTTAAATTGTCGTCCATTTAACCCTAGAAGCTTAAACTGGGAGATTAGTCTCCCATTTGCACTTTGAATTTACATTAAAAATCAATGAAGACTGCTAGCCAGAAAAAACTTCAGCAATGCCTCATAAATAGTTAGATTTATAAATTTGGAAAGTTATATTACTATCAAATTAAGTTATCATGGTTAAATTGATTTAGTTAAAACGTTTGGGATAGTATTTTCCCAATTTATGCGCAATGTAACTTTTTTCTTACAGTATAAACAGTGCTAATTTAAATCAGCACCCATTGCATAAACTGGGAGAATAGTCTCCCAGCATTAAACTGCATAAACTGGGAGACTATTCTCCCAGCATAAACAGCACTAAAGCGTGGGATATTAATCTCCCAGTTTATGCACTAACTGCTGGGAGATTA